AAAAAAAAAAAAAAAAAGAAAATTAGTATCTTTAGAATTTACAAAAAGATAACGATTTTTATTTTTTATTTTTTAAATTAATAATTATCTTAGTAAATAATTTTTCTGTTAAAAAATTCTCCTATTACAGTGCTATTTTGTCGAACGCATCGATTGTATAGTTTACAATTTCGTTTACAAATATGCTTTTTTTTTCTTTTTTTTTTTTAGAGCACTATTTTGGCAAAATATTATAAAAAAAAAAAATCTTCTTCTTCTAATAATAATAATACCAACCAAATATCGATGATAACAGACAAAAGGATTCCGATACAGTGCTATTCAGTAACAACTAAGAAACAGTTGCTCAGTATATACAGAATTTATCTGTAACATTTCTTAGAAGGCAAATTCTTGCTGCTTTTTTTTTTCTGCTTAGCACTAAGACAAATAAATAAAGACTGCTTGCTTAAGTGAAGTTTAATAATGTAAGAGCAATAAGAAAAAAAAAAAAAGTGTGCAAAAATTATAGTAGAAAAAAAAAAAGGCGATGATTATAAGACTGTTTAATCAGTTGTTAGTTTTGCAGTTAATAAGACAATTTTTTTTTTTTGTTCTTCAAATGTTTGTTTTGGTAGTTGTAAAGTTTAAATTAGCTGACTTAAAAAATGCTGAAAAAAAAAAAGTTAAGATTAATGAAGATTTGCAGTATCGTTAATGTTATTTTAAAATGTAAAACTTTTTCGTTTTTTCAACAAAATATTTGCTTATCAAACAGTTGTTAACCACTGTTAATATATATCTCTAAAAAATATTTCTGAAAAATTAATGTTCTTATTTCAGATATACATTTGACAATCTTAAATTAGTGTGGTTTTGTTTTGAATAAAAATTTTTGCTATAACTGCTAAATTGATAACCCTTTTTAAAAAGCATTTTTTGCCAGTTATTTTGCAACTGTGTTTCAGTGTAACAGATTAAAATAGTGGAACAATGGCAAAAAAAAAACCTAATATCAATTATTATATAATTTTCACAGTTTTTTCTTTACTTTACCTTTATTTTTCCACTTAACTTTGGCTAGATTTCTTAAGAAATTATATGCTTATTGATAATACTTTTAATATGCACTCAGTTTTTGCAGCAGTATCACATAGGCGCTTATCGCATAGATTGGTGATCAAAACTGAGTAAAAAACTATTTACTTGGATAAACATTTGTTCATTTAAATCTTTCTTCTTGTAGCTTTTTTTTATTGTAATAACACTAAAAGTTATGTAAATTCTTTTGTTTTTTTTTAAATGTATTTGTAAAACATAGAAAAGTTAACAAAAACAGTATAAATCAGTCTTAAGAAGAAAATAACAGTCTGTAATGGTTGCAGTGAATATCTTTCATTTTGAAGAAAAAGTTTTCTCAATATTCAGATCTTTTTATTTGAGTGCTTTTTTTGTATTTATCAAAAATTTCTCTCTATAACTTTTTTTTTTAAAGAAAATGAGAAAAAGTAAATTTTGACAAATAAATTTATATTTCCCGAAAAAGAGAAAGCAAATATTCTCTCAATTTGCAGCTAAAAAAAAACAGTTAACAGTAAAATTGCAAAAAAGCAGAAGCAGAAACAAATTTTTTTTACATGAATTAGAAAAAATGTACAAATTTGACCAGTTGAAAGAATGCCTTATCAGTAATTTTGTAACCTTTTACAAAAAAAATTTTTTTTTTTTGCCATCCAAAAATAACAAACAAAAAATTTTAACATTTAAAAATTTTTAATCACCTTTTGTCATTTTTTTTTGATATTCTTTCTTTTTTGTTTTTTTTTTCTGTTACTTTTATTATCGCAGATGAAAGCTATGCTGCTTTACGTCTGATATTAAAAAATATTAACAACAAAAACGTTGACGAAAAAGCAACAGAAAATCTCCTTTTGATAATTTTGAAGCAAAAAAAAATTGAAAAAAAAA